CCACAAATCGATGATAATAACCTGCTATCCCCAAGAAACACCCGATCTCAGTTGCTGTGGTGGGACGAGGCCTACTCTGAACTACCTAGATCTTCTTGGAATCCACCTTAATACCTTCACCTAGTACAATATACCCCGAGAAAGCCGTAGAATCTAACCAGAACTTGCACTTGGTGAACTTAGCATAAAGCTTTTGTTCCCTTAGAGTTTGAAGCACTATCCTCAAATGTTGCTCGTGCTCCTCCATGCTACGCGAGCAAATCAGTATGTCACCAATTATGACAATGACAAATGAGTCAAGATATGGCCTGAACACCAAATTCATCAAATCCAAAAAAACCACCGGGGCTTTAGTCAAGCCGAAGGACATCACTAGAAACTCATAGTGCCCATATCTAGTTCAGAAAGCCGTCTTCGGAATATCCGAAGCACGATCCTTAACTGATGATAACGGATCCCAAGTCAATCTTCGAGAACACTCTAACACCCTGTAGGTGATAAAACAAATTATCAATGCACGACAATGGGTACTTATTTTTTATGGTGATTTTGTTCAACTCGCGGTAGTCAATGCACATCCGCATACTCTCATCCTTTTTCACAAATAATACCGATGCACCCCAAGGTGACACACTCGGCCTAATGAACCCCTTATCGATAAACTCTTGAAACTGGTCCTTCAACTCTCTCAACTCTATTGAAGCCAAACAATAAGGCAAAATAGAGATAGGCTGGGTGCTTGGCTCTAGATAAATGTCAAAATCGATATCAGGATACGGGTGGCATGCCTGGTAGATCAGCAGGAAATAAATCGGAGAACTCCCACACCACAGGAAATGAATCTATCATGGAAGTCTCCACAGCAGTATCTCGAACAAAGGACAAATAGGCCAAACAACCCTTCTCGACTATGTGTCGAGCCTTCAAGCAAGAGATAACTTGACTAGATGTACTAATAGATGAGCCTCTCCACTCCAACCTAGTCAACTCTAGCATAGCCAAGGTAACAATCTTGGCATGGAGATCAAGAAAGGAATGGTACGGAGACAACCAGTACATGCCTAGAATAACCTTGAAGTCAATCATATCGAGCAGCATAAGATTCGGTCTGGTCTCATAACCACAGAAAGTCACTACATAGGAGCGGTAAACCCGATCCACAAAAATTGAATCACTCACAAGTACATGTGGATACATATACAGGAACACCCAAGGACTCATGAGATACATCCAGATAAGGAGAAAATAGTGAAGAGACATAGGAATAAGTACACCCTGGATTGAAAAGCATCCCTACGGTAGATAGGAATAATATTGGTGATCACGACGTCTGAGGCTACTGCATCTGGTTTGGCTGGGAAGGCATCAAATCTAGCTGGAGCACCACCCGGTTAGCCTCTACCTCTAGGGTGACCCCTACCCACCTACCCCTCACCCCTGGCCAGCCACACGTGCGATGCAATAACTAGTGCGATAATAATGGGCTGTTAGCCATGCTGTATTGCCTTGCCCTAAAACCTGGGGAAAACCCTCCTCACATGACTAAGCTCCCCGCACTTGAAGCAGCCTCTCGGTGCGAAAAATGCTGACTCTAGGTCTTACCCTAATAACCTAAATACCTACTTGAGGAACCTTGAATAGCCAGTGGATAATAGGTGCTCTCTCGAATGATGCTGAAGTAGGTCCACGCTAAAGCACCCCGAGCAGGTGGTGGCACTGAATAAATGGGCCTGCTAGGCTAGCCCCTCAGGAACCGCTACATCCACTAGAATGCCGAGGCCGCTTGTCCCTCGTTGTGAACTCTCAGCCCTAGTTGTGGATAAGCTCGATCTTCCGAGCTATCTCCACAACCTGATTGTAAGGAGTCCCCATATCTGCTTCTCGGGTCAGAGAAACCTGGATCATATAGTGCAAGCCTGCAATAAACCTCCGTATTCTCTGTGCATATGTGGGGAGTATGATAGCTACATGATGAGACAACTCATAGAATCTCGCCTCATAGTCAGTCACGGACATCTGACCCTGCTTGAGACGCTCGAACTGACCCGTAACTCTTCCCTCTATGAGGGTGGGATATATCTCTCCAAGAAGAGATGTGTGAACTGGTCCTATTCAAAGGAGGTGAACCTGCTGGCCTGTTCTAGAGATAAGATTGCCACCATCTGCGAGCTTTCCCTTCTAACTGAAATGTGTTGAAGTCCACCCCATTGGACCTCACTGCCCCCATATTATGCAGCTTATCCCTGCAACGATCAATGAAATTATGTGCGTCCTCTGACTACTAACCACAAAAGACAAGAGGATAAATCCTACTCGATTTGTCCAACCGCTTCTGCTCCTCAACAGTCACGGTCGGTCTACTCTCTGCTCCAACCGCTAAAACCGCCTAAAATCGGCCAATATGCAGTTCACCTGAGTCTGATAAACAACAGCAACGTGCCCTGACGCAAGAATGTTCCCCTCATGAACGCTAAGGGTGCCTTCCACTTTCCCCAAGCATTAGCCAATGATTTTCACGGCATCCATCCCCGCATTCACCTTCATTACCCACTCTTTATCGAGCAAGACATCCTCAGGTTCGACCTCCACTTTATTCTCGCTCGCCTCAGTGGCAGATAGTTCTTAGGATGTAAGCCCTTCGTTTGACATAACCTCGGGGGACACCTCCTGGATCTTGTTGGTGGCATTCCTCTTTTTGTTACGATTCTTCTTGCCAGCAGTATTCTAGATGTCGTTTGGGTATTGATAGCGTTAATTTCTCCGGCGTTCACCACTCCATAATTTGCAACCTTGCTCTGATACCATGTTATCATGTCCTTAGTCTTGAACTAAGCGAACATGCGATATTTGACAACTCGCTCACGTTCTTGTACAACTTGCTCACAATCTGTCTATGCCAAGTCCGCCAAAGATACTACACTCAAATTGCTAAGGGAATGCTAGATAAGAAAGACAAGAGAATTTTGTTAAAGAAACTTTTGTATCGTAGAGAACTTGATTGTTTTGCTTGGTAAGTTACAAATGAATGACCCTTTTTATATACTAGTTTCCAAGGGGCTATTGTGTAAATATTAATTGTGGCACAAGTCCTTTATATTTACAAGATAAGGGTTTTCCCCTAGAATTCCTTACAAGTTTAGAAGATTTAAGGACTTTCCTAGCAAATCTATAAGGATCTTAGATCTTCCAAGAAAAATGTCCATATTTCTCTAGAATCTTTCTACAAGTGCTAGCTTTCCTCCTATGTAATCTTCCGCACGGTATCAATATATGGCAAATGACACCTATGTGATATGATGACATAGGAGGCCTCACAACCGGGCCTGAAAACTGAAGCTTCCAGTTTCAGCGCATGGCTGCAATGACAAATCTTAGCGCTATAGTGATAGCCTTGGGCAAGTTTTCTCTCGATCAATTCCTTTTTCTTCACAGAAATTCTCGGCTGCAGCATAAAGAAACGTTGCTTAAGCCGTGAACTCCTTCAACTTTTTCAACCTCCAATATTGATATTTTTAAGTATTCTCGCATACTTATATGTACTTATACACTTCTAAATTGTGTAAATATTTTTATACACTTCCACAGTATTATTTTATCAGTGTCTAATATTTAAAACGCAAAACAAATTTTTTTATATCCATTAGACCTCCAAATATTATAAAAAATTTCCAGGGTGATACAATCCTAACCTCAACTTGAAAACATTTTATATATTTTTTTTAATTTTATTTTTTCATATGCAACTGTATTTTTACCAACATAGAACTGCTTTCTCTGTTAAGCAACAATAGATATATCAATTCAGCGTCTAGCAAATATTTGTGTCAATATCACTCTTCTGTGGCAATGTTCTTGATGTCTCAGTCAAAAAGCAGTTAATCAGTTTACTCATTTGATTGATATAATAAAAATAAATGCTAAAAACAATATAAAGGAGGATAAACTATATTCTTTTAGCGCATATTTCCAACAATATATGGATCACTAGTTTTTGAAATAACAATCCTTGTTGGAACACTCCTCCAAACTAGTCTCTCTTTGATTGTCATTTACATCAAATTTAGAACACTTACCCAAAGCACAACCAATGTTACAATAATAAATTTGATATTGTCCATTCACAGGTACAGCACAGTGATTTATACAGTCATTGAAACATTCTTGATCATTGCCACACCTTGCCTGGCATTTATGAACTCATCTTTGTACATCAGTTTCCCCTTCTGCAGCAAAGACCATCATCAATATGATTGCAATCCCCAATCCCAGCTTCATGTTTGCTGCTTTTTCCATTTCTCGTGTAATTTGTATTTCAAACTTCTTGTTTTCTATTTGAGAAATTGATTTGGTGGTGATGTTAATCTGTCAAGTTTAAATAGAATGATATAACTGGATTATGGAAATAAAGATTCTTGGAGAAAATCTGAGTAATTATACACAATAATTATCATGTTACTTAAAATGACTAGAACATAATTATATTCGGACTAATTATACACCACATTTATCATGTTACTTAAAATGACTAGAATATAATCCAATGAACTTAATTTTTATCCTTTTTAAATTTTTGACTAATAGAGTAACTTTAAGGATATTTTTCTCGAAGTATTTTCCGTGCATTCGATATGGAGTTTTGTCAAAATCAATAGAAAAAAAAGAAGATAATTTGCTAACAATAACCTTATGCTTGGCACACCTAAGAAGCAACAGACTGAACCGAGCGTTAAAAAAAGGAGCAAAAGAACCAAAAAAATAAAAAGTAATAATACTCTCTCTATGAACTTATTTGACTGAGCACCAAGTTTAAGAAAAAATAATACTTTTAAAATTTGTAATTCTAAACAAGTCAAAAAGTGGTTCAGAGTATATATGTGGCTATAAAACATTCTTGGAATTATAAGTTTAAACTAAATTGTTACCAAATTTAGAATTATGAGTTCATTCTAAAACAAAAAAGAAGATAATTTGCTAAAATTGAAACAGAGATAAAACAAACACTATAGTATTCACCGCAACTAATCCAAAAATCACAAGAACAAAGCAAAGCTTATATATACACTACACCATCGATGAATACATCGCAGTATATGGACAGGCAGATAATGGATCTAACAAATTCACAGAGCAACAATGACTTCATCAACCTCATGAACCCTCACGAGGACATTAGCGGCAGTACAAAAGGGGAAAGTATTGTTCCGGGTTACGAATTCCGCCCGATTCGCCCAACTGGATCATCGCCGCCGAAATCTCATATTGATTCGGGTCATATCACTGGAGCTAGGGATTGGAATTCTGTTGAATTTAAAAGCAACACTGCTAGAATCAGAGTAATCGCTCGTTCTCCAGTAGTATTCTGTATTTTAAAAAATATTACAAGTATTTGCTTATACGGATGTAAGTTATGCCCTGATAGTATAAAATCAGTGAATTTTAACACGTAATAGTAGTTTAGTTATCATTTTACCAAATTACCAATTAGAGTGGAAGTATATACATCGTTTGTGTAAGGAATTTTTACACGGCCATCTTTGTCTCTTTAGCTGTTGTAGCAAGTAACCTGTCTTGTCTTATTTTATAAGATTACAAATCCACATTTTAATGAGCCTTCCTATACATATCCTTTGGTGACCTGATAGTGTTTTACACAGACAGTGATTTTGCACTATCAATGGTTTTTAACCTTGGATAACTAGTTAGTTGTCATTTTTACGAGATTACCAATTAATGCTAATCAGGAGATTTACATATTGTTACCTAATAAAAGACCTGATTTTGCAAGTATTCTTTACATCGTCAATGCATAGAATTTAAACTCTAACTTATAATGTACTATATTTTCAGTAGCAGTGTAGACACACTAGTATTCTGCACCCACTAGCTTAAAATTCTGAATCTGTCTCTAACAATGCAATGAACACTTGCTCTGTTTTATTCTCTTGTATGGGCTTTGGTTGACGACTAGTTTATCGGTGTGGAGCTTAGATATTTCTCTATTTATTGCGTCCTTTGTGGTTCATTAGTGTTGTAGTGCGGAAATTTTGACTTTGCCTCTGAGAATTGGTATTGAAGTTTGCTGTTATAGCTCTGTCTGAAAGGTTTTGGTTATTGAACCGTATTAATTTAGCTGCTTGTGAACCACTTGACCATTATGTGGTCACTGACCTTTTTGTTGTGTTTGGGCTACTGTCACAACAACATTAATTGCTTTAGTTCCAAGCAAGTTGGGTTCTGGGCTTCTCGCACATCTAGAGGATGCACCAAATGAGCTACTAGTATATCATTTAAAAACAATCTTCTACTTGGCATGTTTTATGAGCAAGAATGGTCAGCTTGTAGTTATCCAATTATCTTTTGCTATGATAAAGATTCTTAAATTGAAAAGCATCAGCAACAAAAGGACATGTACATGCCCGCGATACTCCTCGTATCATATGTGCTCTAATTGCTTGTGGACCTTATGAGGCAGCATCGTTCTTTTTTAATCTCTTTCTCATTTCACTTCTATTTTATGTGTGTTCTGCTGAATCTAGTTGGATATCTACTTGCTTTATTGGGCCAGTTTATGGAACTATACATAAGTTCTGTCAATGATATGTATCTTGTATTGTAATTTCCGTAATTCAATGCAGAATTATGGTTCTCTTGACTCACTTGCACCGGCCAAACTCAGTGGGGATAAAGATCTGAGCACTGTTGATTCATCTTTGTTATTTGAAATTGATCATACAGTGAAAGATTACGCTGATAATCTTCTACATGCAATAGAGAGCATGAGTGCTCGACTATCACAAGTAGAAACTCGAAGTCGCCAGATTGAAAGTTCTCTTGATGGCCTCAAGCTTTCTGTTGATAACAACAATGGGAGCACTGACGGAAAACTGAGACTGGTGGAAAATATTTTCAGAGAGGTATCATCTTTCATATAACTTCTTCTATATGTTTTG